ATATTGTCTCATTCCCATGCCTAATTGCGATATGTTATACTAGTGTTGTTCAATTTATCGTTCTTATCATGTTTACGGATTTTCTGGTGATAATTGAGTTTTTATTTCAAAGTTGAGATTGATGTTTTGGAACCAAATGTTGAGGTAAAGATTTGTACTTGTTATTCTATCTCCCTCTTGATATTTATGCATTGCATTATGGTAAGGGAGAGTGATAATGCACGAAGGGTGATGCCGTGCCATATTGTGAGTGTTAATGCACGAAGGGTGATGTCGTGCCATATTGTGAGTGTTAATGCACGAAGGGTGATGCCATGCCATTTTGTGAGTGTTAATGCACGAAGTGTGATGCCGTGCCATGATATGAGAGTTAATGCACGAAGGGTGATGCCATGTCGTTTCTATTTATTTTAAGGTGAGATTGAGAGTAAAAGCACGAAGGGTGATGCAGTGCATTTTTCCTTACTATATTCACTATTCCTGTTGATCATGGTATATTGACTGCTCCGATGATCACTCTGTTGTAGTTCTTTATCTTGTATTCCCCTCAGTATCTTCCCCTTCCGACATTTCCTGTTTGGTTCTTCATTCTGTTATTTGCATATACACTGTTAAATTGTACAAGTTGATTTGTAGGTGCCTTGCCTTAGCCTCGTCACTACTTCGTCGAGGTTAGGCTCGACACTTACCAGTACATGGGGTCGGTTGTACTGATGCTGCACTCTGCACTTACTGTGCAAATTTTGATACCGGCTCAGGTTGATCGAGATTTGCTACTGGTCCGCTGTCCGGAGACTCAAGGTAGATCTGTCAGCGTTCACAGACCTTGAAGTCCCCGTCTATATTTTTATGTCCTACTGTTTTCTTTCATTCAGACAATTGTATTTCTTTCAGACTATTACTTGTAGTAAATTTTAGAATGCTCGTAAATTGTGACTCCAGATCCGGGTGGTAGTAGTTAATACAATTTTTTATGATATTTTGCGCTTATTATATTTCATCTTAGTTAATTATTGTTAATTACTGAATGGAAATAAGGAATTGGTTAATGATTCTCTAATGTTGGCTTGCCTAGCAAGTGAAATGTTAGGCGCCATCACGGTCCCGTCGGTGAGAAATTTCGGGTCGTGACGAAATTCTCGCTCCCATTTGTTGAGAGAGACAGGTTTCTTTATTGTAATTCTTGTCTGTCTAATAAATCCCATCGACATTTGTTTCACACATTAACTCTAGAAAGCTACAAACATCTTCTAATTATTTTCAGTGATTTATGGGGACCCTCTCCTATGTTATCTCTTGATAAAAAATTATATTATTATATTTTTGTTGATCAATATATAATATACACTTGGATCTACACACTTAAATATAAATATGAAGGTAGAATTTTTTTTCAAAAATTCCATCCTTTGGAAGAAAAACATTTCGATACCAAAATTCTATCATTTTATACTGATGGTGGAGGAGAGTATAGAAGTCTTGACTCTTATCTATCACTTCACGGTATCAAAAACCTTTCCGCCCCACCCTATACGCCTCAAAGAGTTGCTCTTGCTGAGCGCATGCATCACCATATTATTTAAACTGCACGAACACTCTTACATGAGGCGTCTCTCCGATCACATTTTTGGTCATTCGCCTGTCACCATGCGGTCTATCTCATTAACCGACTCCCCACCACACTTATAAATAATAATTCTCCTTTTGAAAAATTATTTGGTAGGACACCTGATGATGATTCTCTAAGAATTTTTGGGTGTTTATGTTATCCATGGCTTAAACCATACTCCAAAAATAAACTTGAACCAAAATACACCCCAAGTGTTTATCTCAGTTTTTCATTGTCCCATCACTGTCACCACTGCTTTGATCCAATCTCATCAAAAATTTATTTATCCCGTGATGTACATTGTGTTGAAAATAACTTTCCATTCCAAATTCTTTTCTCTAATATTGCAATTCAAAAAAGTCACATGGAATGGACAACTAGTACAAGTCTTAATTCATCCAATCCCACCCCTAATATTTCTAATATTTCAAATTTGCCCTAACAAATTAAAATACCAATTTCAGTTGTAGAACCCCAACCCCAAACGTCATCTCTTTCTCTAAACCAAATAGACCTGCCACTACAATCCCCCATCTCCGGCGTGCTAGCGGCAAAATCGGATTCAAACTCTTTAAAGACTTCTACTCCAGGTAATCCTCTCTCTCCTCCTTCTTCTATAATTCCCACTGCCCAGGAGTCTAATTGTCCATGCCCATCTTCTTTGAAGCCTTCGAGCACTGCCCGTCAACCGCCAAACCCCAACACATCTATAAATTCACCAAATTCTACATCTAAAATATCACAAACCTCTCCGCCACTTCTAGTGTATCACCGCAGAACACCACAATCTAAAACCATGACACCTCCTCCTACTGTCTCTGTTCGAACCGGCAGCAACCAAGAGGCACCACTAGTCAAACCCGTGCTTTACCGCTGCCCTTCCTCTCCCAATCGCATTATCACTCATTCAAGGAATAACATTCAAAAATAAAAGCAAATTTTTGACTACTTTGCTCACTTAGAAACCCCACCGGTACCACATACCTTCAAACAAGCCGAGAAACACCCTGAGTGGAGAAAAGCTATGAAATCAGAATTTGATGCTTTGCTAAATAAACGTACTTGGGAACTAGTTCCAAATGATCCTTCTAAAAAATATTATTTAATGTAAGTGGCTTTTCAAGATTAAAAGGAAAGCATACAGGTTTATTGATCGCTACAAAGCGAAACTAGTTGCCAAAGGATTTACTCAGAGGTCGGGTGTTGATTTTTACTTGACTTTCAGTCTGGTAGTCAAACCCACCGTTGTCCGAATCATTCTTGTTGTTGCTCTTCAGTTTCATTGGCACCTTCGTTAGCTTGACGTCAAAAATACATTTCTTCAAGGTGATCTTTAAGATGAGGTTTACACGAAGCAACCTCTGGGTTTTACTTGTGCCAACAACCCAACTCATATCTGTATGTTGCGCAAGGCAATTTATGGCCTGAAGTAAGCACCTCGGGCTTGGTACAATGAACTCAAATGCCATATTCTCTACATGGGATTTGTCAAGACTGAATCTGACAGCTCTCTATTCGTTAGAATCAGCAACACTGGTTTCATGTTCATTCTGGTATATGTTGATAACATCATCGTCACCGGCAGCAATCATATCACTGTAAATGAGGTTATAGCTTCCCTTGCTTCCCGCTTCTCAATTAAAGATTTGGGAAACCTTCATTATTTCTTGGTGTTGAGGTGATTCAAAGTTGAGATGACATTATTCTCTCTCAAGCAAATTATGTCAATGAAAGTTTAAGTGCAGAATTGATGTCTGATTGCAAAAGTGCTAAAACACCAATGAGTAACTCCGAGTTACTCAAACTCAATGATGGGTCTGACTTTACAGATACAACTCGCTATCGCCGAGTCTTATGCAGACTTCAATATCTGTCTTTTACAAGGTCGGGCATTTTCTATGCGGTCAATAAACTGTCCCAGTTTATGAAATCGCCATCGGACTTACATTGGAAAGCTATGAAACGTGTTGTCAGGTATCTTCGTGGTACAATCCAGTTTGGCCTCCGTGTGTTCCCAAATTTTGATTTTAATCTGCACATGTATTCTGATGCCGACTGGGATAGATATCACACTGATAGATCCTGCACATCTGGCTATATTCTATTTCTTTATCGAAACCCTATCAGTTGGTCTTAAAAAAAAAGCAGAAAATTGTAGCTCGCTCATTAAGTGAAGTTGAATATAGAGTTGTTGCCAACTCTCTTGCTGAGCTGTTATGGGTGAGAAACCTATTGCTTGAGATGAAGCTTTATGTCAGAGATACTCCCATAATCTACTGTGACAACATTGGTATCACTTACCTAAGAGAGAATCCGGGCCTTCATAGTCGCATGAAGCATGTTGAGGTGGACTTTTACTTTGTACGCAACCATGTTCAACAGAAGGGGGTTCAAGTTGTTCATGTTCATTCTGCTGACCAACTAGCTGATACGCTCACCAAGCCACTTACCAAACCAGCCTTTGACCGAAATCTGTTCAAGTTAGGCTTAGTTACACATCGCCTAATTTGAGGGGGGTGTATTAGAACAACAGTTGTTACCAGTTGTTTATCCCTTTGGATTAGTTCTTAGTCTTCATGCTTATTCACGATTAGATATAGATTTAGAGTTATCCTTTTAGTTCATATTTATCATTCAGTTAGTTAGCTCTTGATAGTGTTTTGACTTAAATAAGTCTCCTAATTCAAGGAGTACTCTTAGGAAGACTTGTGTTTAAAGTGAGCTTGGCATTCAATATAGATACAATTTTCCATCGTATTCTTGAGTGTTTATAGTTTCTATGATTAATGCTCACGCTGCCAAAATATTGGTCGACTTCTTCAAATTCTTTTATTTAACAATCAATTTAGAGAGCACGTGTGGAGATTGTATTTAGCCAAAATGTGAAGAACTAATTATTACTTCATTCATTTCAATTCATGTGTCTTACTTTTTTCAATTTTTTTTTTATCTTTTTAAATAGTAAATTTTTAATACCAATATTTATATTTCACTCATAATGACACCCGTTATAAGGAATCATATGGCAATATGTATGACCACATGATCGACTTAAAGAGTACTTTTTATAGGTTATACTCACCTTTAATTTAAGGTAAACAATATTAAAATTCTTTTTACATTTTAGTCCAGTTAATCTAGAACATATCAGATGAAACTGATCAGAGAGTAACGATTTAAATTTTCTCTTAAGCAATTTCAGTCATATGAGGCGCATTATCAAATTTCTCCTTTTGGGATAACGAAATAAAAATAAATGCGTTAGACGTCTCTAGTCCGAATAATAGTTGTTCGTTTAAAACGTTGATAAATTTTAAGTTGTACTGTAGCCGAACAAGTTTGTGTATAACTATATATATATATAGACAAAATTAATAGTCTTAGCCATCAAAAATCAATAGGTTAATCTTCTAAAATGAGGCTATTTAACTAAAGCTGTAGTCTATGTATTCAGGCAACCCTATGCTACTTCAACAACCTTGGTCCCCTTAAGTTCTCAATATCCTTTCACTTGGCTTCGATTATTATCTATCACCTTATCACCTTTATCTTGTTGATGTTACTAACGTGTTGTGTCCGTTTCTTTTACTTTTACCTTGAGTTGGGGGTCTATCGAAAACAATTTCTCTACCTTCACACAAGGTAGAATTTACCCATCCCCCACTTTATAAGATTACGCTGGGTTTGCTTTGTCGTCGTCATCTTGAAGTTCTCAATATATTAGCAGCCTTAAGTTCTAGTTCATTTGTGTTTCTTATACATCCCTAGCAAAGACATTATGGCATGTAACATCGAAGTTATTGTTCGACAAGCAAAAATTGCTGAACCAAGATTGTCATATAGCAGAAAATGGAAAGGAAAATTTGCTATATTTTCCGTAGCTACTGGCCCGAGCCGAGTTACAGAGTTACCAGGGAAGCTGGTTTACCATGAAAAAAAGAGAGCAATATTTAGCAATGAAAAGTTTGGGATTTTTGGTGGAAAGTTCGTACCTGAGACGCTTATATCTTCTTTAACAAAGCTTGACTACGAATTCAACTCTGCTTTGCATGACCCTCAGTTTCAGGTTTTTCTTAAATTCCCTTACTTGTACATGTAACTATTTTTTTATATACGTTTCCACGTACTCCTACAAAGTTCTGAGAGAATTGTTTCCAATGTTATTCCAACAAAAAAAAGGAGTTGACTATGTATGGTCGCTGAAATTGATGTCATATGATATTAAAGTCCAACGAATCACCCATGTGCGAAATGCTCCGTAAATTTCGCCACCCACGTCACTTGCCACATCATCGCTTTACCCACTTAATTTGTAAATTTCATGTTAGATAATAAAAGAAATTAATCGGTGTGCAAATTAAGTCCACGCTCAAAAAAATTGAGAGCCTCCGTATAATTAGTTGTAGTAATTTCTTTACGGTGTGTGAGACCTTTCGAGAAAAATTGTGTGATCTTGGCCCAAAACGTACAATATTACACCATGTTAAAAATATCTTTGGGATGGTTTAGCCCAACAACTGGTATCAGAGCCCAGATTCAACGGAACGAGCATGATCATGACAGAGTGATGATATATGCGAGACTCGGTTTGGAGACACGCACACAAAAAGAAGCTAGTAGCGGGTTTCGATTGCCTTAAATACTCTAACAATGTGGGTGTCACACAGTGAATCACGGAAATTGACTTATGGATCGTGGTAATAATAGGGGTCTCTTAATGGCGTAAGAACTTTTGAGAAAAATCTTACGGACTCAAAACATACAATATCGTTAAGTGTATCTTTGAACTGGTTTAGACAACAGAATTACTAGCATGTAAAACTCTTGACTAGCAATATTTTAAAGTAACAACATATAATTTTTATGCAGATGGTGCTGGGAGTGGCACTAAGGGACTACGTAGGGCGTGAAACTCCTTTATACTTGGCTGAGAGACTAACAGATAACTACAAGAGCAGAAATGGGGGAAAAGGGCCAGACCTATATCTAAAAAGGGAAGATCTGAACCATGTTGGAGCACACAAGATCAACAACGCTATTGCACAAACAATGTTGGCTAAACGCATGGACTGTAAAAATATCATAGCAGCCACCGGTGCTGGCCAACATGGCGTCGCGACGGCGGCTGCCTGTGCTAAACTCTCATTGGAGTGTACTGTATTCATGGGAAGCTTAGATATGGAGAGACAACCTTCTAATGTAATCTTGATGAAGCATCTTGGTGCAAAGGTACTTCTTCTTTCACAAAATTATTTAAACTTTTTGACATCACTAACTCTGTCATTTATGTGACACTTTTTCGATTTTTGAGATTTATAACCTTGTATTTGACATAATTTCTTTAAGTTTTTTGAAAACTATGTACTACAAGTTAAAATAATTATAATTTAAAATATTCAAAAGACATAAAAAAATTACCATTAAAGAATAATTGATTTGATTCTCGAAATTCGAACATTATTACTTAAAATTGGGACGGAGAGAGTATAATGGTAAAGTCATAAATCTATTTTTATCTCATTCAAGCAACTGAATTATGTCTAAATTACTCGGCTAATATAATTATCGGAAGGTCAAATTTTCCGACACCACGTTATGTGTTTGCCTTAGTACTTTGCCACGTAATGTTACGACACCGGAAATTTGACCATCTTATAAATTTATTGTTACTGCGAATAAAGTTCAGTAATCATATTTATAGGCCAAATCATGGGCACGTGAATTCATGATCTCTCTGTCAAACTAGATATTTTATGTACCGTATTTTTAAGAATTAATCTAATATTATCTAATGTCATCCATGCTCCAAAAAAATTGAATGATGCGTTTGATTGAATGTTGAGTTATTTACCCAAAGGAACATAGATCAATTTCCACTTAATATTTTTTTCTACTCTTTTTAGTGATGCACTCATATGCAAGAAATCCTAGATCCACCTCTCTAATATGACAAAAAGAGGAAAACCCTTACATGTTTGAATATTCATGCAGGTGAAATCTGTAAAAGGAAGTTTTAAAGATGCAGTATCGGAAGGCATTCGACATTGGGTTAACAACTTGGAGACAAGCTATTTCTTAGGAGGTGCAGCCATAGGACCACACCCATGTCCAACCATGGTTCGTGAATTCCAATCAGTAATTGGAAAAGAAACGAGGAAACAAGCCATGGAAAAATGGGGTGGGAAACCAGATGTGTTAGTGGCTTGTGTAGGTAGTGGCTCTAATGCGTTGGGTCTATTTCATGAATTTATTGAAGATAAAGATGTGAGGCTAATAGGAGTTGAAGCTGGTGGGGTTGGTCTTGATACAGGTAAACACTCAGCAACTATGGCTAGAGGTCAAGTTGGGGTGTATCATGGTGCAATGAGCTATTTGTTACAAGATGATGAAGGACAAATTATTGAACCACACTCAATAGGTGTGGGGTAAGTTTTCACTTTAATTTAAAGCGCACGGATTCTTTTAATCAAGAGGGGTCAATTATAAAGGAGTAAAGGGTAAAGGAGCATATTTATTTTTGGGAGGGGGAGGGGAGGTTAAACCATCTCTTATCTGTAATCCACTGACTCGACTAATCGTATCCGTGCTGTATTGAGCAGTGGCGGAGAGCCATTCTTTGCCAAGGGGTGTAAATTGATACACCTTCGCCTGAAATTTATACTCTATAGATAAGTAAATAAAAAAAAAATAAAAAAATATATATATATATATGTTGACTCCCCTTTGCCTTTTTGTGTGTTTATTTTTTATATTTTGACCTCTCCTTTGACTTTCTGATTGCAGTACCTAGTGTATTTAGTTTTGTATTTTTGCTTCGGTTTTCTAATTGACGTGCTTGTTGCTCTTCTTTTTACCTTTCCTAAACCAAGGGTCTTCCGAAACAGCCTCTCTGTTTTCTTGAAGGTAGGGGTAAAGTTTGCATACACACTACCCTTCATAGACCCCACTTGTGAGATTACACTGAGTTTGTTGTTGTTGACTCCCCCTTGTAAGAATCCTGTATAGGGAAAGCACTCCCTATAAGGAATTTCTCCATTTTGAGGGAATCCAACACCTCTAATTAAGAGTGGAGGAATCTCTTCCGGCCCACCATATCCGATGATGGTGTGGAGCATATATATGGATAAATAAATGAAGTCAATATAAAAAAAATTAGTTTTTACCAATCAGGTCACCTATAAAGTAGTTATATTTAAATCTCCTTAATGAGTTAAATGGCAACGTGATAAATTGACAACTTATTTGTTATCACAAGGTTAAACTACATTATTGGTAGTATAAAAAAACCTTTAACTTTATCAATACATAATTTAAATATTATCCTTGCTATATAAATGAGTATTCAATGTAACCTTCCAAATTGAATGCATAATTTAAATATTATCCTTGCTATAAATGAGTATTCAATGTAACCTTCCAAATTTAATGCAATATTATTGAATATGCAGATTAGAGTACCCAGGTGTTAGCCCAGAGCTTAGCTTTCTAAAAGACACAGGGCGTGCAGAGTTTTATACTGTCACAGATGAACAAGCCTTAGAAGGTAAATTAATTATCTCTAGCAATATTTTGAAAGATGGAATCATAACCATTCAAGTTTTCAATAGTAATTGATGTTTTTTTTCACTTTTGTGGTTGCAGCATATAAACGGTTGTGCAGGCTAGAAGGGATATTCCCAGCCTTAGAAGCTTCACATGCACTTGCATTTCTCGACAGACTTTGCCCTACTCTGGAGGATGGTGAGAAGGTGGTTGTTAATTTAAGCGGCCGCGGAGATAAGGATGCTGCCACAGTCTTTAATCATACAACAAAAAATGAATGAACGAAAGAATTACTACATTAATGAACTGATGTGTATGTTGTAATTTGTAGCAAAGTAGGATCACAAATCAAATTAAGAGATATTCTAGTACCTAAGTGAGTCAGTGACAATATTTTCAAAGGTGTTTCACATACAATGCCATATCCATAAAAGATATAGTAGTCAATTTGATATATAGTTTAGTGTTTAAAATACTAATGTGTAAGGAGAACAATACAAAATAAATAATCTAAACTTTATAAAAAGGAAAAAAGGAAGAGATGGGATCATTTTTCTATTCTAGTCTTGTCAAGAAAATATATTATGTTGTTATATTATTTTTCTTGTCGATTGCAAAAACAAAATGATTTCTCAAACCCACACAAGATAGTGCAAATGATTTCTCATCCTAAACATCTCACTTTTAGCAATAAAAAAACGATAAAAATATATCTTCAATCTCAAAACAGAGTGAAATACAAAACTATTTATTTTCTATCCAAATCAAAAAGTTTTCAATTATAAAAAAATAGAGCAATGTCCAACAGAATTTAAAAAGCGGATGAATTAGGAAAAATAAAATACTTTTCAGAAGGAAAAAACACACTTTAAAAATCCATTTATGAAAGAAAAAGAAAAAGATAGCAAGATTATGTGAGTAAGAAAGATATGCATTTCATGCACACTGTTATACATTTAAAAGCTGCCTTAACATAAAGTATAATTGGTTATACACAATCTATATTCTTTATAAATTCATTGTCTATATAAAATACACTGACTATACATCAATTATCAAGTAAACACTCTGGATATACTGCGAAACTCACCAGTCACCTCATTCAAACACAATCGGGATACACTCCAAATACACTCTAGATACACTCAATATATACAAATAATACACTACCAAACTCAGGATATAATGCATATACATTGTATAACAATGTCTGAATCACTTTTATGCAACTAATATACAAGTGTGTGTAACCGCATAATGATGCACTGGTAATATCTGTACTCGTAAATAAATCTCGAGTTAAGCGTGTGTTAATTGATCCAGGTATCTCGACCAATATCATCAGATCGAGAGTCGTAGAGCAGTTGGGTCTATAAGACCAAATAGTGCCTACAGTCTGGGTTTTAAACGGATTCAACATGGCATGCGAAACTACTAAAGGGGAGATAACCCTGCCGGTGAACACCACCGGGACCATTCAGGAAACGAAGTTCTATGTGATCGAAGGGGATGTGAGATATAATGCTTTATTCAAAAGGCCATGGATTCATAGCCTGAGGGAAGTGCCCTCAACACTACACCAGGCACTGAAGTTCCCCACACCGGGAGGGATCAAGACGGTTTACAGAGAGCAGCCAACCGCGAAAGAAATGTTCGCGGTCGATGAGGTGATCCCGATGTCCGCACACTCGGCATCAAAGGACACGGAGGCGGTTATGAAGGAAGAAACTAAATAGTAATTACCAATATCATCCCGACCGAACCGGAGAAGTAAGAAGCAGGCGAGGATGATGATTACGGAATCCCTAGGTCGTTCATCGCCCCTAATGATTCCGACGTCACAAAATCAATGGTCAAGGAGCGGGAGCAAGTCAAAATGATTGAACACTTGCTTGTTCGGAAGGTATACCTGGGCATGGGGTTAACTCCCGCGCTCAGAAAAAAACTCATTGAATTTCTTTTAGCTAACATAGATTGTTTCGCTCAGTCCCATCTTGATATGACAAGGATCCCGCCATAAATAACCACTCATAAGCTGAGCTTGGATCCAAAGTTCCACCCGGTTAAACAGAAGAGGAGGCCCATTCCGAAGTCAAACATGCATTCATCAAAGACGGGGTATCCGAATCCTTAAAATAGGTTCCATTCGGGAAGTTAAATACCCGGATTGGTTAGCTAATGTAGTGGTAGTACCTAAAAAGGGGAATAAGTTAAGAATGTGCGTAGATTACAAAGACTTGAACAAGGCATGCCCTAAGGACTCTTTTCCATTGCTTAACATCGATCGCATGATCGATGCGATGGTCGGGCACGAGATACTCAACTTTCTCGACGCCTATTCAGGGTACAACCAAATCCGGATGGACCCGGGTGATCAAGAAAAAACTTTCTTTATCACTAAATTCGGCACCTATTGTTATAACGTAATGCCATTTAAACTAAAGAACGTCGGTGCCACTTATCAACGCCTAGTAAACCGGATGTTCGAAGAATAAATAGGAAAATCAATGGAAGCTTATAGTGATGACATGTTAGTTAAGTCCCTGCGAGCAGAGGACCATTTGAAACATTTGCATGAAACCTCTGATATACTAAAGAAATACAATATGAAGCTGAACCCGGATAAATGCGCATTCGGGGTCGGATCCGGGAAGTTCCTTGAATTCATAGTGTCCAACCGAGGGATCAAGATCAATCTCGATAAAATCAAAGCTATAGAAGATATCACCGTGGTGGACAGTGTCAAGGTCGTTTAGAGTCTAACCAGGCGCATAGCCGCCTTGGGCCGGTTCATATCGATGTCTTCCGATAAGAGCCATCGGTTCTTCTCATTATTGAAGAAGAAGAATAACTTTTATTGGACCCCGGAGTGCCAACAAGCTTTGCAAGAACTCAAACGGTACCTTTCGAGTCCACCTTTGCTCCATACTCCGAAGGCGGATGAACAGTTGTACCTATACTTTGAGGTATCCGAGGTAGCGGTAAGTGGAGTCCTAGTCCGGGAATAGGAAGGTGCGCAATTTTCTATCTATTATGTTAGTAGAACTCTAGGCGAGGCCAAAATAAGGTATCCCTACCTGGAAAAATTAGCGCTCGCTTTGCTAAGCGCCTCTAGAAAGTTAAAGTCGTACTTTCAATGCTACTCTATATGCGTTGTAACTTCTTACCCACTAAGGAACATAATTCATAAACCCGAGCTCTCAGGACGGCTGGCTAAATGGGCCGTAGAAATTAGCGCATATAATATCGAATATCGGCCCTAAGCTGCTAACAAATCACAAATTTTGGTAGACTTTGTGGCCGACTTTACACCGGCCTTAATACCCGAAGTCGAAAAGGAATTATTATTAACCTCGGGGACTTCCTCGGGAATCTAGACCCTCTTTACGGACGGTGCCTCAAACGCAAAGGGGTCCGGACTCGGCATCATATTGAGGCCACCTACGGGTAACGTAGTTAGGCAATCTATTAGAACTGTAAAATTGACTAACAATGAGGTCGAGTATGAGGCCATGATTGCAGGTCTCGAATTGGCTAAAGGCCTAGGGGCCGAGGTGGTTGAAGTTAAGTGTGATTCCCTCCTTGTGGTAAATCAAGTCAATGGGACGTTCGAAGTAAAAGAGGAATGAATGCGAAGGTATTTAGACAAATTGCAGGTAACGCTGCATTGATTCAAGGAATGGACACTACATCACATACCCCGAGATTAAAATAGCGAGGCCAATGCTCTAGCTAACTTAGGGTCATCGGTTGATGACGATGAATTCAGATCAGGAACGGTCGTACGGCTCATGAAATTGGTAGTGGAAGAAGGCCATGCCGAATTAAACTCAACAAGTTTAACTTGGGATTGTAAAACAAGTATATAGACTACTTGAAGACTGGGAAGTTGCCCTCGGATCCTAAAGAATCGAGAGCTCTACGCACGAAGGCAGCCAGGTTCAGCCTGTCCGAAGGTACTATGTTCAGAAGAACGTTCGATGGCTCGCTTGCCATATGCTTGGGGCCGGGAGATACCGAATATATTTTGAGAAAAGTTCACAAAGGCACCTGCGGAAATCATTCGGGGGCAGAATCTTTGGTTCATAAGATCATGAGGGCCGGCTATTACTGGATCAATATGGAGAAAGATGCAAAGGACTTTGTACGAAAATGTGAAGGCTGTCAGAGGCATGCATCGATAATCCATCAACCCGGAGAGTTACTATATTCGGTCTTGTCACCTTGGCCGTTCATGAAGTAGGGAATGAAAATTGTCTGTCCCCTGCCGTGGGCACCCGGTAAGGCTCAATTCATACTATTTATTTATTTATTTTTCAAAGTGGGTTGAAGCTTAAGCGTTCGAGAAGGTCCGGGAAAAAGAAGTCGTTGACTTCATTTGGGACCACATAATATGCCGGTTCCTGGATACCAGCCGGGATAGTGTGTGATAACGGGAAGCAATTCGTCGGCTGCAAGGTAAACAAATTTTTCGAAGACCATAAGATCAAAAAAGATCTTGTCAACACCCTATCACCCTAGCGGGAATGGGCAGGCAGAATCAACAAACAAGATCATACTTCAAAACCTAAAGAAAAGGCTGACTGATGCCAAAGGGAAATGGAAGGAAATTCTACCCTAAGTCTTGTGGGAATACTGTACAAACTCGAAATCTAGTACCGGGGCCAGTCCGTTTTTGTTGGTCTACGGTGCCGAAGGACTAATACCGGTCGAAGTGGGAGAACCGAGTCTCAAGTTCCGATATGCGATCGAAGAATCAGATAGTGAGGCCATGAGCACGAGCCTGAAACTATTGAATAAAAGGTGTCAGGCCGCCCTAGTTCGGTTGGCCGCCCAGAAACAACGGATAGAAAGGTATTACAACCGAAAAGCCAACCTCTGACACTTCAATATCGGGGACTTGGTATTAAAAAAAGTAACACTGCACTCCCGGAACCCGAACAAGGGGAAGCTGAGGCAGAATTGGGAAGGACCATATCGAGTCATCGAGATTACCGGTAAAGGCTCGTACAAACTCGAAGCAGGAAACGGTGCACAGCTACCGAACAACTGGAATGTGACGCACTTAAAGTAGTACTACTGCTAAGGTACGATCTCATTTACCTTTTTATAATATTGTGAATCGTACTAACACTTGCAGGCAACAACCAAAGAAGAATGTGACTATTAGGTCTGAAAGAACACATTGCACTCTTTTTTTCTTGAATCGGTTTTGTCCCAAATGGGTTTTTCGGCAAGGTTTTTAACGAGATAACTGTAAATCATGCTAACTTAGAATCGAAGACCGATTTTAAATCGGATTCAGTGGTCTCATCAACAATATCCGATCCGTCTCAAGATCGACCTCGAATACTAGGAGCCATCACCCTCAAGACAAGCTTCTTAGTAAGGAAATGAGGAAACTTTGTGCTTGA